GTGAATTAAGAAGAAACCTGCTTTTATAATGTTTTATTAAATAAAGTTTGTTCATGTAATATTACATGTGATTTGCAAGAACTGAAATATTTTAAATTCAATAATGGTATGGACGTGCAAAGTGTGTGTATGGAGAATTTTTCTTACTTATTTCTTTGTTGCAGAATAGAAATTCACTCCAGGTATGTAGTTTTGATAAAGGTAAATCTCATTTCCTCAAAAGTGATAAAAATGGACATTTATCCTTGTTAATATCCCTTCATTTCGTGATCTCATAATGTCGATCCATCTGTTCGCTGGCAGCTTGTCTGGCGTCTCTTTCTGGCAGCTGGACGCCATGGCATCGCTGTTGGTGTCGCTGCCATGGCATCCTAGTGCGATACCGCCCTTACGCGACTTGCAGCAACTCCATTATTTTTATTATCGCAATATATGCATGTATTAATTAATATATAAATACATCCTTGGTGTAATTACATGAAAACTTGTTAACGATGTTTAAGAAAATAATCTCTGTTTACGCTGAGAATCAAACGAAAGCTATAGATATAAAAATGCCGAATTAGTGATTGTTAAAGCAACTGGTAGATATGTTTACCAATGGGTTTAAGGATTAATATTAAAGCCTCGCTTGTAGTGGAGGCACAGACGTTAATCCTCGACACTGCTCAGACAGGAAATACTCATACTGTGGGACAGGAAGTTGACTTTGCCAGCCGGCAAGGTGAAGTGTGTTCCTATTGGTGGAAAGAGGCAAGCGTTGTCTTATCAGACAGAACAGAAGCGAAAAGGATCTCAAAACACGATCCATGATGCACCAAGACATAAAAACACAAGTAATCTAAAGTAAATTCTTGTGTTTTCCGCTGGACTAGTAGGTGAAGTTACAATATCTGATTAATTAAAATTGGGCCTTTTCCTTACGTGATTGGACTCGATGTACATTTATTTGTTAAAATAAATTATTTAAAAGCTCTTCATAAAAGGTACGAAATATTTTTATTAGAACTTTGTCAAATATTCATCACGATATCGATATATTTTTAAAAAAATTACAGATTTTAATGAGCCCTATAGTTTGTGTCGTACCAATTTATGGTGTCTGAATCGTG